GGGGGGGGGGGGGGGGGGTTACTTTTCCAGCTAAGCTGAAAGAAAAATTGATTTGGCAGCGCTCCGAGCTCCGAGCTCCGGGCTACCAATGAGTGTTCCAGGCACTGACACGACTTCCCTGCCGAAGCCCCAAGATTGATCTATATTTTATAGTTTTTGTTGATAGTTACAGCAGCTCTGGGCGGAGGCACTCATTAGCCAGCCGAGGGCGGTGGCTGTGTGGCCCGTGATTGATGATCGATCACATGAAAATGTTACCTAATTGCCCTACCAACGGAGGGCCCAACTAGAACTTGGAACAGTTCCAGAAGCTATGGCAATTGTGTCTCTAGCGTTCAATGCTCTTTGTAAAGTTGTAGAAATTATTGTAATAATTTATATAAATTAATTGCCTAATATTTAATAATGAGTACTCAATCATTCTCCATAATCCTCAACCTTTAAATGTTTCCAAATATTCCTTCAAATTCACAAAACTTGATTCACTTTCGTTAACTTTGCTCCGCACTGCTCCTAAACTCGTTTTTGAGTCAGACAAGAGTCGCAGCATGCGGATTTGATAGTGATTAGCCCACATAATAATAGTTGGCAAAAAACAAAAAAAAAAAAAGGTTTTCTTCATTCGATGCGACCCTTTCTGCGGATGGGGCGAAGGCGACCCTGAACGTGGTCGATGGACTTGGCTGGCAACGTCGTTTTGTTGTTGTCGTTGTCGTTGTCGCCGAAGATGTCGCAACGTAAAGATTACGAGATGTATCTTGTCTATGGGGACTCCACACTATCACTTTTTTGTTGTGCACAAACTAGTAAATATATATCGATGTTTATTGTTGTAAGCTGCCCTATGAATGGGAGTCAGGTTCATTATAATATTTGGTTGAACAACGCTTTGCATTTCACGCATGAATCTTCGCCCGACCATTAGCCAGGTCAGCGCCGCATGAGGCGGACTTCGGCTCCGATCGAGTGTGGCGAAGTTTCATTATCATAATTCGGATTTTGCCAAACTTCATCGGGATTGGGTCTGCGACTGGATGTCGTAATTCCCTCATATCATCTGCAAAATGCGAATTATGCTGCACACACAGACGGTCGTCGCTGTGGATCTGTGTCTCTGGGAGACTCTACTAATGGCTCAGCATCGTCGAATGCCCCAAACGAAAATCCATTAATTAAAAAATTAAATATTAATTTATGGCCTGAGCGCGAAGTTGTGTGTTGTTTCTTTTTGCGATTTTTTCAACATTTACATGGAATCCATCCTATTTTCGTTTTGTTTGGCAAAAGTTTGAAAGCAAATTGCCAAATGTTTAAACCAATTTTAACATTTTTAATTGGCTGCAGTTCACCTTGACTGCTGCTGGCTGACTTTTTTTCAAGCTACTTTTAATATTAATATAAATTTAATAAATACGAAATATAACATATAATTTTTGGCAGCAGCCACGCTAATCTGCAGTTTACGGCATGGAAAGGGTTAGAGGGGTATGTGGCACTCAAATGCTGCCCGATTGCTGCCGAATAAGTCAACTGCAGTGCACACATTTTGCCCTAAAAAGCAATTGACCTGCTAATTGTGGGTGGCAGCTGGGAGAGACCGGGAAATGCGAAAAGGAAATGGAAAAAACAGCGGCAGCTTTTCCAAAGCTCACTCTCTCCCTCTCCCTCTCTCTGTCCCTGTCTCTTGGTAACGCTCTCTTTGCGCAAAGAGAACGAAACACTCGCTTTTAAGAGAGAGCCGCTCGCTCTCTCTGAACAACTTTTTGGCGTTGGTTGGGGCCGCAGAGCGATTGGTTGCCATATGCGAATGAACGGCCCAAAGCGGAATGCTGACAACAGAAAAAGTTTGAGAAGCGTCAGGCAGCAGCAGGCGCTCGGCCGAGGGGAGCCCGCGGGCACGAAGGCAGATGGAAGAAGTCATCGGCACAGAGACACATATACCCACTCAGCGGGCAGCGCTGCTTTGGGGCTGGCGGGCTGGCTGGCTGCCCTGCCCCTGCTCCTGCCCCTGCTCCATGCTACTGACGTGAACTCTCTCTCTCTCTCTCTCTCTGCCTCGTACGCGCTCTCTTCGGCTCTCTGGGGCTCTCTGCTGCCACACAACACACACACCGCATTGCGACGCTGCCACTGACACTGCCACTGGCTCTGCTGCGGCGCTGCCGCCGTACCGTACGTACCGACGACAACGAACTCGATAACATTTTGAGGCACGGCACGGCACTCTTCGGCTACACTTTGAATCGAGCGAATGCGGCGGCGGGTTACGATGCGCAGCGCGTTGTATCTTTATTATTAATTATTTGTTGTTGCTGTTTACTCTGTATTATTTCCCATCATCACTCACCACACTACGTGCGTATCCGTATCCGTATCCGTAACTGAATCGAATCCGTGTAACCGAGTATCCGTGTGCGTGTACGGTGTGCGTTCGTCTATCCGTGTGTCTATGCGTTTCTATCCGCCGCGTCTCCAAGCGGCTCCGGCTCCGGCTCAAAGCGGCTCCAAAAAGCACAGCAACTAAACTAACGCGCGCGCGCCCCCCCGCTCTCGCCACGCCACTGCCACTGTGTGCCTGTGCATGTGCCTGTGTGTGTGTGTGTGAGTGTGAGTGTGTCTAGCCAAAGTGCAACATCGGCAACGGCAGCAGGAAAATTGGAATATTGCAACAGAAGCAGCAGCAGCAGAAGCAGCAGCAGATAAACTATCTGCCAGCCAGTTAGCTCTCCGTGGAAGTTTGTTCGGTTTCAGATCAAAACAAAATCATAGAATAAATATCTAATATATATTCAAATAGAAAAGAGAGAGAGAGAGCGAGAGAGCGAGAGTATATATCAATCAATATCGAGTGCATTCAAATTCCAAATCGTGCCTAATACAGCAAACAAACAAAAAGTAAAAAAATACAAAAATTAAAAGAATATAAATAAAAACCAAAATGCAACGGCAACTGCAATGCGGTCCCCCCCTGTCTTTACCACTGACCCGTTAGCGACGGAAGTGCCAGTGACGTAATACTCCAGACTCCGAGCGGAGCAGAGGGAATGCAAAGTGCGGCGGCGTCCCTCGACGGACACACGGATTCGATTGTGTAACAAAAACAACGCAAAATTTCAGTGTATGTGTGCGATCGATGCATGCTTGTGTGTGTGTGTGTGTGTGAAAAAAGGATATAAAATAATCAAAGAAAATGCAAAAGTAACACAAAATAAAAGTCTAATGAAAAATCCCCCCTCCCCAACGGAAACCTAACAGGAACGCGGCCCCCGACCGCCACAACAAATTGGATAATTTATTGGAATAATCAATTGGCCACTAATCCGGCCAATCAGCAGACACTTTTGGATATTCAAACGATACGATCGGGGCATTTGGGAGATTTGTTGAATGGAAAATGATTTAAGAACTCAGTTTTGGGGAATTCTTTAGAGGGTTCAGAGGGTCCACTTCCATTCCGTTTCAATGTTCAATCGATTCTCTGTCTCTCTCTCTCTAGAGTTGGTATTTGGTCAGATAGATCCCGTTAGAAGTGCTCACCCACCTCCTGCTTCTCCTCCGGCCAGCCAAAGCAAAACTGTCAGCTAAAGTTTACCCTGCAATCTTTCATAGTGCGCGCCCATTGTCTTTCCCATTCTGGTTGCCATCCCCCCTCCAGGGATCCGCACGAGAGGCCTGCCCTTTTCTTCTGAAGCTTTTCTAGTTTGTCCCTTTGTAGTTGCTGCTTTTCCCATTGTGCAGCATTATGATTATCAACAATTGTTATTGTTGCAGTTGCAGTTGCAGCTGCAAGTAGGCGGTGGGGCTCGCTAGGGGTGGGGGCTTGCAGGGCTTGTAGTTGGCAGTAAGTCACTGAGCGGCCCAGAGTTCAGAGCAGAGCAAAGTCGGTCGTCGCTTGGGGTCCCTGCTCCACCATCATCATCATCATCATCATTATCATCATCGTGAGGCCTAACCACCCACCCACACATCCACATCCAGTTCTACCTCCTCCTTCTTGGCAGCACCAACTGTTTGCATTACCGTTAGTAGAACACACACACACAGTCACACGCAAACACTCCATGTGTCGTGTCGTCGGCTATAAGTGTGCCACCACCCCAGACTACCGCCCAACAGCTAGAAGCGGAAAACAGCCTAAGCAAAAGTAGGGGGGCGGGGAGGCCAGCAGCAGCAGGGAGCAGCGGAGCCCACCCATAGGTCATTGGTCTTTTTCGTCGGCGTCAACGTACTGCGACGGCAACAGCAGCAACAGCAAAAGTAGAATCAACAGCAACAGCGACGCCGACTGCGATGCCATGTAAAGTTTGTCGTCTGCTTTTCTGTCGCTCTGTTGCTGTTGTTGTTGTTGTAGCGCTGTTGTAACTGTAACCGCCTTCGGCCAGGCCTCTTCCTCCCCCTCGCGAGAGCGCGCGCTCTTACTCTCTCTCTCTCTCTTTCTCTTACACTCTTTCTTGCCCGTTATCCCGCTCTCTGCCGCTTTCCACCGTCATCATCATCATCATCATCATCATCATCATTGGCTTGACCGGCTCGTTAGCTTGGGGGGTACCGTTAGTAAGTTCGTTGTCGTCGCTGCGAGAGAATTTTTCATTTTAACTGTTCTACTGGCGCTGCCTGCTGCCGCTGCCGTATTTTGCCGTATTTCGCTGTGTGCGCGCCGCTATTCATTTTCATTTTCTTTTCAGCCTTTCTTCTTTTCATTGCGTTCTGTCTGTATGTAAATCTCTCTCCCTCTCTGTCCCTTTCTGCCTCTGTGAGCTGGCACAATTTCTGTAGTGTTGTTGCTGTTGCTGTGGGCTGTGGGGGCTGACTGTCGCTTTGGTGACGTATTTTATATGTCTGCCGGGGGCTTCCGCATGGCCACCCCCAAAGCCACCCCAAGCAAGCCTCCAACAAAGTAATAGCGCTACACCCACTCCTCCTCCTGTTCGTGTAACCAAAAGACAGAGAGAGAGAGAGAGAGAGCGTCACAGAGCCCCTAACCGAGCAACCGAGAGAGCGAGAGCGAGAGAGAGAGGGAAAAGTAAAATGTTTTCATATTCATTGGGTTTGCCGGCTCGTTTGTGTTTTTCCCGTCTGCGTGTGTGTTTGGGTCATAGAACTTTTTTCTATGTTCACACACACACAGGCACACCCAGCAGTCACACGAACACACCCACAAACTGACGATGAGATTTATGCGCCCGTTTCTGTGTGGCGCTCACTAGCGTTGCACTCTGCGGCAGCGTTTTTTCCTTATTTTGCCCCCAAACATGGGGCACCCCATCCACGCCCCAACCATCGCCCAACCCTCTCGTCTGTCTGGGCACCCTTAAATCCCATTTCTCTATCGATTTTCCATGCTCATGTTGTGGATAATCACCGCCACAAGGGGAGTAGTTGCCAACCCCACAGGGGAGGGGCGGAAGCTTGCTATAGAGGGGTAGTGGTGGTGGTCTGGGTCGGCCCAGTTCCTGTTCCTGTTCCTGTTTCTGTTCCTTGTGATGTTGGGGAAATTAAAGTGAAATTCTGGATCGGCACACACGCACAGGCGAGCGCGCATCGTTGGATCTTTCTTGTGTCCGATTCTGTCCATCGATGGATGAATAGATCCGATCCTGATGGAGACCAATTGCGATTGTGATCATTCCATTCCCATTTCCCCCTGTAGACGACTGGCCGCTACCGAGCAATATGCTGAGTGCCAGGACCTGGCCCTGGCTGACAGTGCGTAGCAAAAGTATTCATATGACTGGCCAAGCCATTCTGTACATCAAGGTGTTCAAGCTGACGACATAGACCAGTTCAGAGGGGAAACGAGTGCGCGCCTAAATGTCTTCCGGAATCAATTGTCGTGAGATTTTCGTATTTTTGGAAATTTTGATTTGGAATCAAACGAAACAGAGAAATCGACAAAACAGTCAGCATAGCAACAACAATAGCGGCGTCAGCAGCAGCAGCAGCAGCAGCACCAACACCAGCACCAGCAAAGAGACAACAACCAGCGGCGGCAGCAACCACAAAAATCACTGCAACCGAAGAAGCGGCAATAACAGCAACAACAACGCAGTGAAAGTGATAAACCAGCAGCAGCAGCAGCAGCAGCAGAGGCAGCCACTGCCCCTGTCCGAAGCAGAAAAAAGCAAAAACTCTCGCAGCAGCAGCAGCAGCAACAAAAACAGTTTGCATATTCTGCAAAAGGGTTGAGCAAATGAACAATTAACAAATCATTGATGAATCGCTTTAAACGTTAAACAACAAAACAAAAACAAGCTAAGAAATACGCGAACAAGTGTCTTATTATTAAATAGTTAAACAAACAAAACAAGCAACAATATATAACATTAATATATATATATACATATATAACCAGATCCAGCAACATCAACAATTTAGTACCTACAGGCCTGACAACGTTAGATCATTATATAGCAATATACACCATATATACATACTATATATACATATACATATATACCTATATACATACCCAAATCGATTGGCAAGTCCCCCCCTATCCACTCACAACCCCCTCTGTCTCACAAACACCCACACACTGTGATAGTTCTTGATTCACACGGAAGGAAATTCATTCGCAAAGATACAAACGTATATGGAAGCAAGCGGCGGATGGTAGGACAAGAGAAAGACCAAGTGCAATACGAAAATTGGCTAACAAATCATAACCGAAGTGCAGCTATATATCTATATATAACTACCTAATAAATCCTGTATACAACGTTTTACACATTTACATAAAGTAAACCCCCTAAACTAAGGCGAACTTAAACAATTCTTTCGGCGGCAAAGTGCATCCACATTGCACATACGCGACACAAGGCTCGCGGCATGTGTGTGCGGCTGAGTATATCAGCGGCTGACACAACTAACTCAAAGTGTACATAATACTTCGTGCAACTGCAACATCAGATAAGCCCACAAGAACAACAACAACAACAACCACAGACACGCGCTACAAACGTCACCAAAGCTACGCATTTCGCATTTCTCACTAATAATTATGTATACGCAACGGATGTTTGACATGTGGAGCAGCGTCACTTCGAAACTGGAAGCACACGCCAACAACCTCGGTCAAAGCAACGTCCAGTCGCCAGCGGGACAAAACAATTCAAGCGGTTCCATTAAAGGTAAACCAAGTCCCATTTAATCGTCCCGCAGCTTGGCCAGCAAGCTCTAGTTTAAGCTGGCAACTCTCCAAAGAAAAATGTACCATAAAATCTCTGGATTGTTTTAGAATTTTGATTCTGATTTACCAGAAAGTAATTAAAGCTTTAGTTTTAGTTTTTTAACATTCATTGGTTCAGGTTTGAGACCTTTGATAAGCAAACTTTCAAGAACTACTCAAGTACCTAAATTATTCCACTTGAAAATTGAATTTGTAAACTTTCATCCCACACAATAAGAAATGAAAAAAATTGCACAAAATAGTAAAAAAACGATAAATTGTAAAGAAACGAAAAAAAAGCAATTGTAATTTAATGAAATTCAGTTAAGTGCGAAGTTTTATGTGGCAGAGCTGTGGAATTGCGGAGTCAGTCAGTCAGTCAGTCAGTTAGTTGGTCCCGGAATGGATTGCTGCCTCTGCCACTGATGATGTTGTTTGGCAGTGAAAGTCACTTGGGTTTCACAACAATANNNGCCAGAGCAACAACCACAGCAGAAAAAGCAACAACAATTATTTTAGGGAAATCCATGAAATTCGTAAATGAAGAAAGACGCCATAACATCAACGGCCAAATGAAACATTACGAAACCTTACGGCAGACAGACACAAGCACACCTCTACAGACGGACGGACACACACGCATATTTTGCATAGGTGTGTGTGTGTGTGTGTGTTGTTTTTTTTGCTTTTTTGCATTGACAATTCAACTAATTTGAAAAGAGGCAGCTAAGATAGAGAAAAAGAGACAGCGCGCTCGCCCAAAAACTGATACAAAGAGACAAATTGTACATGTAACAAAAATATGCAAGCAATAAAGAGATTCACAGCAACAACAAAAAAAAAAGAATAATAAAAACAAAATGAAAAAGAAACTTGCGAATTAAAAATCGCGCGCCAGCCATAAAAAATAAATGCGATATTGTAATGCCAACAACAACAACAACCAAATGAGCATTTACCTACATATGTGTGTATTCATTTGTACATAAATATGTACATAAAGGGTACCTCTTCATACATACATATGTGGGTGTTTCATCGTTTTATTGTCGATGTGTCTCCTTCCATTGTCTTGCACATTTTTCGGCCAGGTTTCCATTCCGTACATATCACAATTGAATGAACTCTTTTTTTGGCTAATTTGCTAATTTCATAAATAAATTTTACATGCAATCAAAATGTTGTAAAATGTTGTTTGATATCGTCGTTAAGGTGTAATCATTATTTAACAATTATGTAGAGTCAAACTCCGCTATAATTAGTTCATAAAATATCCTCCAAGCATTTATTTGTAGCTTAATATTTTGTGTGTAAAAAGTAATTTGAGTTCCCTGAACCCTTAAAGGGTCACCGCCACCGTTATCCAAAATGCAATTAACATTTTAGTCAGGTATTATTTCTAACATAAATCTTAATCGCGACAGGAATCTCTCTCAACCCCGCACCCATGTCCATCCCTATGTCCGAGCTGCGTGCAAGAAATTAAGGCAGCACAATGGGGTTGTCAGAGGGGGTCGGGTCACTGTTACTTTCGGCATGCAATTTGCCGTTATGACTTCCGCAAATCAACTTTTATTCCATTATTGAAATTTTCACTTTTACTCCCGGGTGGTTTTTTCCTCTCCTTTTGGTTAGCAATGTCTCGAAAAAAGAGGCAGAAAGAGGTGAAAAAGATAGAAATGTACGCAGAGGGAAAGACATTTTGCGGCGTAAACAGAAAGTTGCCGAAAAATACAAAAAAAAAAAAGAAGAAGCGTAAAATTCAAAATTTAAAAAGCGAAAGAGTTGACAACGAAAGCGTCGAACCGATGACGCTGTGGCCCTTGGGAGGCGGAGCAGCAGCAACGAAGAAGAGTAAGAGAGAGAGAGAAAGGGAGTGGAGAGGAGAGAAGCAACAATGAAATATTCAAAAAAGAAAGACCGAAAAAGTTGTGTTAAAGTGAAATGCTGCTGTCGCTGATTGTGAAGTCTAGGCACACACACACACACACACACACACACACGCACAAGCTCCCTGGCAGCGCCCCATGCTGGCCCAAGCCCTGCCGCCCGGCCCCTCCCCCAACCAACAGCTCCCCTTGTAGACAGAGACCGCGCGAGATAGTGCGAACGGCCGTTAACACTCGAAAACTATGAAGCTACAAAATAGCTGTCTGCCTCTCTATGTGGTGTGCATGCGTTGTACATGTGTGTGCGTGTGTGTGTGTGGGTTGGCAGCGGCAAAAGCACACACAACACACAATCATCATCGCCAGCCAGCGTCAACATAGTAAAAGTCTAAAATCGACAAACAAAAAAAATTTATTTTCGGCGGTCATTCAACTCTCACGCACGCACATACACGCACAAACCAAGCACATAAACGCACGCCGCCTGAGCGATAGAGCAATAAAGCGGCACAAAGAGCGGCAAAGAGACGGAGAGAGAGTGCGTGAGCGAGCGCGGTCGACGCCTGTTATGCGGGAGCGTGCGTCGCCGTCGCGACGGTATCGGTGGGGACTGCGGCAGCGCAGCGCACGCACATTACAACATCCCACAAGCACACACACACACGAACACGCATAGGCACAATAGAGAAATACTTTCTATGGCTTTTGCTGTTCCCCCCTGCTCCAACAGCAACCACTCCTTTGCTTCTATTTTCTTTTCAAACTGAAATTATTATTATTTTTTATGCAGTCCAAGTTTTGGAGCCAACGAAAAGAGCAAAAGTTCAATAATACGAGTGAGAGAGAGAGGCAGAGCGAGGGAGAGAGCTAAGAAGAGGAAATTCTGCTGCCCATTTTCTTTGTTTGACAATTATTGCGTGAATTTCCATGATTACCGCTGCTGCGGTATTAATTGCCTGTAGGAGAACGCTCTCAGCGAACTCATTTAACTTCCTCTCTGGCGGCCGTCCGTTGACCGTTAACTACTTTGGATCTGGCACAAGCGATAAAGTCTATAAGAAGCATTTTGCTTGAATCCAGATCTGACTCTCGTGATAACATTAAAACGTACTTGCAGACCGCAGCTCACACTTTGCATAGATCTTCAGAGTGAGTCAGCCGAAATGGTGGGTAAACCTATGAAATTATTTAGTTTTTAGGAAAATTTTGAAACTTACGAACATTTCTATAGCTGTGCTTAAAGTACTTTAAATGTTATTCCAAGAACTCTAGTAATTTAAGTGCCTTGCCGACATATTTTAGGGAATATTAGTAAAACACTTTCCACCCACTAAATGAACTTTAATCATTTGCAACGGTCTTCCTCGTTTGAAACCATCATTTGAATGGGCTCAAATATCTTCTGGTTCTTCCCGATCTTTGACAGATGTTTGTAATAAGTTTCGCAGCACAACACACACTTGCACGTTGAATGTGTTCGGGGGCAGACATAAAAAAAACTTAAATTTGGCATGGAATTTCCCATAGCAGCGCCTTGCCGTGCCACCCCCATCAATGTACAATGTATGTTCAGTATAGATTTCGTATGTGGAGCATGCAAATATTTTGAAAATTCTGGCCTGTCTGCTGGAGCAAATGCGAGCAATTTGTTCTTGTTTCGGTTGGAAGTTCATTCGCATTTGTCCTAGAAAACTGTGAAATGCAGGAACCACATAAACATACTATATGTACATACATGTGGAGGTTTGTGTCTTTATTTGTTCTGATAATTTATGGAAACTTACAAGATTGCTGCCAAAACCACGCAGTGCTCAAATGACTGACACGCGAAGAGTTCAACGAACCGTGAGTAACATCACCGTAAAGATAACCCAAACTTTGACAGATAGTTCGATGTTAAACCAACAGCCGCCAATATACAGATATGTCTGAGAATTGTTCCACTGTAAGTTATGTTCAGATCACATCGATATGATATTATCTGTACTCCCCAATCGCTGAGTGCTTTGCCGACCATACACAATGATAAGCTTTGAAAGTTAATCGTTATCTGCTGTCCTTTACTCACAACTATTGTAAGGCAAGAAAAAGAAACACTTTTTACATATAGTACAAGTGTTCGCAGACGAGATAAGCCTGACCACAGAATGTGTGTCATAAGGCCACCGCAACTTCAGGGCTTTATGTTACAGCTCCAGACAAGAAGCCTATACTCAAATGTAGACAAGAATTGCAAACCATAAAAGATTACTAGAATGTTCTGCTGAACAATTATCGCATATTACAAACATTACTAATTAAACTTCTCACTTGGTTGTCTTGATGAATCGCCATGAAAGTGTGAGAAGAATAGTCAAAAATCATATCAAAAGGTCAGGCCATCAAAATCTAGTTTCTGTTAGTTTAATAATATCAATAATGATTCATTCCATAGTTTGATAACCTCTGGACAAATATGTTATGTACTACATGCATTCATAGATGAATGTACATACATAATTATTTATATTATGACATCCGTTCAACAAACTTACATACAACTCACACAAATGAAACGAAAAAATGATTTAGCAAAACGACAAACGTTTTCATTATCCCAACGAGAGCAGCGGCAAAGAAATTAAATAATACTATTTTAGTAATTATAAAGCAGACATCTATTGCCATGCCTGAGTGATCCGCCCCCACACGGAGCTGCCCGCCCCGCCATCCACCCCAGCAGGCGCCCACTCGGGTGCAGCTGCGTATCTTATCTATGCAACTCTTCGCATAGTTTAGCGTTTTGTGCGTGCGCTTGTCGCACATGAATACCCATGCACACACACACACACACGCACATATATTTTTTTTTTTTTTTTTTTTTTT